GCTGTGATCCCAAGACGATGGGATAAACGTATATTGCTTCTTTTCTCTTTCTGTCACATTATTGCTTGGTCCTGGACATGAACACAGTTGCAGGAAGTATGCAGCAGAACAAGGTAACTAAAGTCTTAGCTTTCTGGCTGAAAGACCAAAAAAGGCAGCCCCGGGAAACTGGAAAGTACTGGGGATGACACTAGAGAGGGAGGCGCTCAGGACAACAACTCCATAAAGGTGTTCAGGAACTCTCAGCTTCATCTTTAGGCTGCACATGTGTGAATCTGACCCTAAACAGCATACCATAGACTTTAGGAACTGAACAACAGGGTAGACCTTCCAGCCAGATCTCACACTGCAGCTTGGTGGTACACACACCAGACAGACAGGAATAGCACTGCATAGGCTTTGAAAACAGAACACTGTAGCCACGACCCGCAGAAAGTGAGTCAGAACTTGTGGCCTAAACTCAATTGAGTCAATTGCTTACTAAAACAAATAAGAATTAAGCTTCCACTGTAAAGAACTAGAAAAATAAGAGTAAAATAAACCCCAAACAAGTAGAAAGAAAGAAATAATAATTATAAGGGCAGGATCAATGAAATTACAAACAGAAAAACAATTGAGAAAAATAAGTGAAACCAAAAGTTGATTCTCTAAAATAAAAAAAAAAATCAATGAAATTGGTAAACCTCTACTAAGATTGATAAAGAAGAGAGGAGAGAAGGAAAAAAAATACTAATATTAGGAATAAAAGTGGACTATCTCTACAGACTCCACATAATTCTACATACATTAATCAATAGCTTAGTTGAAATGGACCAATTCCTCAAAAACTTCAAACAACTACAAAAGAACTAAAACTCACCTATGATAAAATAGATAATCTATGTAGCCTTTAACTTCTAAAGAAATTGGAGTTAGTTGAAAAGAGAAAAAAGAAATCTTGAAGCTGAGATGGTTTCATTGGCAAATTCTAACAAACATTTAAAGAACAAATAACTCCAATTCTCCCTAATCTTTCCCAGATGTCTTGATAAAAGTACTTCAACAAACAAATCTACAACTAACTATTCCTATTCACAGGCAACAAGTGTGACTATGTAGAAAATTCTAAGGATGCTACCAAATTCCTAGAAATAAAAAGTGAATTTAGTAAGGCCATAGGATACAAGGTCAACACATAAAAATCCATCATAGTTACATATACTAGCAATGACCAATTGGAAACTGACATTTTAAAAACTAGCATTTAAAATAGCTCACAAAAATGAAATACTTAGACACAAATCTATAACAAGATACATACAAGATCTGTATGTTGAAAACTACAAACAATGATGCAGAATGGAAAGACATACAGTATTTATGGATTGGGAATCTCAGTGTAGGAAAGATGTCTATATTCCCCAAATCAATCTACAGATTCAATGCAATACAAGTCAAAGTCATAGTAGGATTTTTGGAGATACAGGCAAGCTGATTTCAAAATTTATATGGAAAGACAAAGGAACTTGAATAGCCAAGAAAATTTTGAAAAGGAAGAACAGAATTGGGAGAACACAACCAAATTTTAAGATTTATTTTAAAAGTACAATAATCAAAAGAGTACGGCATTGACAAAGGCACAAATAAATAGATGAATGGGACAGAATAGAGTCCAAAAATTGATATCTATCCATCCAAATATATCCTTATCCATATACATTCATATCTACATCTATTTATCTATGTATATACACCTATATATGTATGTATGTGTACATATATACACATATATATGTATGTATGTGTACATATATACACATAACCAATTGATTTTTGATAAAGATGTAAAGGTAATTCAATGGAAAAAGATAGTCTTTTCAACAAATAGTGCCAAAACCATTGAATATCTATACACAAAAAGAAAAAAAATTAACCTCAACCTAAAACTCACATCTTATACAAAAATTAAGACAAATCATAGACCTAAATGCAAAATGCAAAACTATAAAACTTCTAGAAGACAAAGGAAAAAATATTCATGACCTGGAATTAAACAAAATATTCTTGAACATAACACCAAAAACACAGCTCAATAAAGAAAAAATTGATAACATGGATTTTGTCAAAAGTTGAAACTTTTGCTCTGCAAAAGATACTGTTAAGAAAATGAAAAGACAAGAAAAGACAAGATATATACTAAGAGAAAATATTCACAAAGCACATATCTAACAAAAGACTTAGATCCAGAATATATGACAAATTCTCAAAACTCAACAGGAAGAAAATAAACAGCCCCCAAAATGGGCAAAAGATTTGAACCGATGCTTCACCAAAGAGTATATAATAGAAGTCAAATAATCACATGAAAAAACACTCATATTAGAATGATTAAATTATTAAACGTTTAAAATGCCAACGATACCAAGCGCTGGCGGGGATGTGGAACAAGTGGAACTCCCATACATTGCTGGTGGAAACGCAAAATGGAACAACCACTCTGGAAGACAGTCTGTCAGTTTCTTACGAAGTTAAACATACACTTACCATATGACCCAGGAATCCCATTCCTAGGTGTTTAACCTAGAAAAATGAAAACTTATGTTCACATAAAACCTGTTCATCAATGTGCATAGCAGGTCTATTCGTAATTTCCCCAAACTGGAAATAACCCAGCTGTTCTTCAACGAGTAAATGGGTAAATAAATGGAAACATCCATACAATGGAATACTACTCAGCAATAAAAAGGAACAAATGATTGATATTGGCAACACTTTTGAGAAATCTCAAAGATGTTATGGTCAGTTAGGGAAGCCAGTTGCAAAGGGTTATGTATTAGATACATACTGGGGTCCAAAGCAATGTTAATGTGATTTTTAAATATTGCTGAATACAGCAAATAGCATCATGAGAACGGGTCAAAGCTAAGCTACCACCATCATAATATATAAAGACACAATACTCACTGTTGTGCTTAGATTTTTCTCCATGTTCCTTGCTCTATGTAACAGTGTTTTGTGATCTAATTTGAAAAATAATACTCTAATTTAATAAATTTAAATTATATAAATATTTCATCAATTATAGATAGATATAAAATCTACAAATGTAACATTTAATATATCATCTATAGACAAAATATTTTAGATCAATATTCAAGTTTTAAAGCGGCCACACCTAGGTGTCCTGTCTATTGTACCCTATCAAAACAGACATGACAAATTTACCTTACCATAGTGTACACACCCGGAATAAGAAAGAAACAGCCTCGTTTAAATTATATGCCTAAAACTTAAACAGCATCAAATTATATGCATCAAAACTTAAACAGCACTAGAAATACGACAAACATCACATGACGTCTGCTCCTGATGCTTTCAATTCTTTGAACTCTATTGATAGAGACACTGAAAATAATGATCACTGAGAGCCATTCCTTGGACTCAAGTTTACTGAACAGGCCTTGTACAGAATGTTGAATATACTCAGCAATAGCCTCCAAATTGGAAATTAAATGTTATTTCCTTATTGATTCTTTGACCACTCAGTTTTAAGGTCCATGAAGGTAGTGCTCTGCTGTGCTGACCACTAGATACCAAGCACAAAACAGTGTCTGACACAGAGCAAAGCAAAATAAATATTTTTGAAACAATATTTGTTAATATATGAACAAATAAATGTGTACCTACAAGATTAGGGTTGAAAGTAAGACTATATAACTGAACTTTAGGAATCACTCTGGCACATCCCTAGATGTTAGATATTGTACAGTTCAATTTAGACACATCTTCTTTCATTCATTCATTCTATCAACCAACCAACAATTCTGTTTGGTTTCAAAATACTTTGTGTTAAGATCTGTGATCAGGGCTGGGAACACAAAGATTCATAAGAAGATACAATCAAGGATGTCAAGTAGCCTAAGTCTAGTGTGGAATACACAAGATATGGAGCTAATATAATTAATATCAATCTATTAAACATTGAGAACCATAATAAGCACATCAATAGTGAACTCCAGTGAGGATGTAACTAATTCTGACAGGAAGAATCTAGGAAGAATTCTTTGAAAAGGCAATCATTCAACTGGGCCCTGAAAAATACTTAGGATCCTGATAGATGAAAGGCAGATCATAAATTGTTACGAGCATGAACTTTGAGGTCAGACTGCCTGAGTTTGCATCCCAGTCTACCACTTATTAGCTATGTGACCTTAGGCAAGTTATTTAACCTCTCTGTGCATCAGATTCTTCCTGCATAACATGGAGATAATAATACCACATGGCATAGGGTTGTTGGGGAGTACTTAGTTAACATGTGTAAGCACCCATAACAGTACCTGAAACATAACAAAAGCTAGCTAAGTATGTGTAAGACGGAGAAAAGAAAGAAGAGCAAGACAGAGGCAACAACGTAAAAGAATCCTAACGTAAAGTGCTAAAAAACATTTTCTTTTTATTTGTTTTCACCAGAAAAAAAGAAAACCATAGTGTCTAAGTACAAATTACTAACTATGTATAAAATGCGTTTTGCTAACTCGACGACAGTTTTGGGTCATTGATCTTTTATTACAACTATGGATCTTCAACCCAGAAAAATGCACAGATGCGTGTACATACACTCAAAACTCCACATGTGATTTTAGGGGTCCATCCACAAATCAAGGGCAGCAGGCACTTCTTCAACGTCACTCTTGAGCCATCGACAATGGAATGGTCTGATGGTATTACAAACTTTCCATAAAACCAAATGCTTAGTATGGAATTTCATACAACTCCATGCAACTATGGGCCTTAACGTACCTAATCAAAAAATTAAATTGTGAACTCAGAGGACTGAGACACGTAGAACACAGAGAACTTCACAGCTCCATCTCAAATCAGAGAAGGGGTAAAGAAGGCAATTACATTAGGGGGTTCTTTGAGAAGCAGACCTGTGAAGGAAAAGGACGCAGGTAGTCTAACCCTGAGGAGGAGATGAGGGTGAGAGACAAAACGTAAAAACTGAACAGCTTTGTACTCACATGGTGAAGGAGCCAGGGGGAGCAGACACTCTCCGCAGATCTGCAGCTTGCACCTGATGGATGCTAGAGGCAGCAGGGAATGAGCAGTGAAGACAGTCAGCACAACAGCGTGGACAGATAGGGAACAAGCCCGGAGAGAGAAAGAGAGACATACAAAATTTAAACAGAAATTAAATGAGCGCATCACCAAATAGTGAAGGAAAAGAAAAGAAAAATCGAGCCAGCCACGGAAATAATCCATAAAGCCAGTGATAGCGACGAAGCCAACAGGACACACAGCAGGGGCCGGCTCAAGGCAAGTCAGAGACTAGAGCACAGGGCAGGGCATGGGCAGATGCGGGAGGGAGCGCTGATGCTGGGCAGGGGTGCGGGGGGCGGGCAGGTGGTCACGTTCTTCTCTTGCTCTAGGTCATTCGGGACATCCCAGGAGAGAAGGTGCCCACACACACACACTCACATATGCGCGCGCACACATATACACATTAGAGTGGTAGGCTGGCACACTCAACTCATCTTTAAGGAGACCCAAAGTAAATTGAATCCTTTAACATAGTCCTCATGATTCAGGGCTTTGTAGGAATATTCGTATCAAAGACAACCACCTTTATAAGAGTGAGTCAATAAAAAACTTTAACTTCCTTCAGTTAAACAATACAGTCTTTTTAAGAACTCCAAAGATAAAACCAAGAAAGCCTAAATTCATCACAATGATGCTGTAATTCCACTTATACTCTTGGCAGAAGAGTGAAACCATACACTTCTCCCTTTTCTCCCTTCTTTTATAAAGGAGAGAGTCTTCAGTAGCTATTAGAAAAGATAAAATATAGAATTTAAGAAACTAAACCCAAAGAGTTCTGTCACTTTTACATAATTATTCTCTCCACTCTCTCAGACAATTTGAACAGTTTCACTGTAACTGTAACAGACATGGCTCCCCCATTCCTCTTTTCTGCTGGGCATGTAAATTCTCATATAAAGTCACCCATGAATTAATTCTTTGTTATCTTCAAATAACTATCAGTTATAACCAGTAATACTTCTCAGCAGCCAGGATGATGGAATCTGGTTGCCCCATTCAAAGTTTGCCAATTAGAAATCTTGCCCTTGGATAATACAATCACTTTTAACATTGTAGTCTTAATTACTAGTGAACTCAGTGTTAACAGCTAGTTTAAGATCTCCCTAAACACCTGAGTAATTTTAAATTTCTGATCTGCTTCAAAGGTGCCTTTCAAATAGAAAGTGTAATCAAATTTATCTGGCTATCGTGTTGCTAGTACATGAATATGAACCTAGATAAACCTCCTCTATTACTTTTTGGGGGGAAGATATTTACTGGAGTTCATATTTCAAGTAGATTCATAAGCCATGAGAAAATGAGATATCCTCCTGGACCAATGGGGGTGGGGGCTATGGAACACAAGAGGGTCTAGCCTTTTAGTTTGCATATAGCAATAGCAAATGGGATTATAAGCCAAGATATAATTTTTTTAGAAAAATTATTCTTTTCCTTTTCGCATAAGTGAAGATATATGGGCATCATGAAGGTCTACTATTTAACTGTTTCTCATGGGAATTCCTCCAGCTTTCCATGTGAACCAGATCTTGAAATTCTTAAATACATATCATCCACTTATTATCATAAAATCAAGACGTTTTCTATATTATCTTTACATTCACGAGATCTTAGATTTATGTTATTTTAGAAATAATTTCTGAGAAACGTTAACAGTTATAGCATTATAGATCTATGTGCAAGCCACATATTCAACACATAACCCTAAGTGTCAGACACACTGGGAGGCAGAGGGGACCCTAAGAGGAAAGCCCCAGGGCCTTTCCCCAGAGCAGGGAAGAGAGACAAGTAAACCGAGGATTACACTATTTTTGATAAATGGTGTCATGGATGTAACCGAGAGTGCTTACAGGATAAATGTAGGTGTATCTAACAGTTGGAAGTAGATAGAAAAGGATTCTTAGGGAAAGTGATATGTCAATGGAGTCTTGAAATTGAGAGAGAGGTAGCAGATAAAAAGGAGGTGAGGGGCAAGGCAAGAAGAACAACCACCGAAGGGCAAAAATATGAGGATGTCCAAGAGAGGAACAGCAAGTATCTCTGGAGCATAGAAAAACGAGGATGAAGAAGGCAATGGCCAAAAAGGTCTGCAAAGCTAAGGAATATAGGCTTCACATTTTTAGAAAGATCATTCTAACTAGTCTATTGGAATTGACATTGTGTGAATGGCAGCGACACTGGCAGGAAATGAATTATGAGCATAGTTTAGCAACGCTGCTGATAGGTAACTAATACTGCCTTTGAACTAAGGCAGTAACTGGCAGAGGGGATAGATGGTGTGTGAGTTAAAGATTTGGGAAATAAATAGAAGGTCGATTTCGAAGAACACATTGGATGTGTAAAAGTGCAGGTGACTGAGATGACTCCAGGGGCCAGGGACATGGTGATTGAGTGGACCGTGGTTCCATTCATACAATGTGAATGAAAAAGGGTTGTAGACGGTGAGGAGAGAAAGCAAAGGGAATAGAGTTAACAAGTCCAGTTTTAGCATGTAGATTGAGGTTGCCACGAGATATCCAGGTAAAGATGTCAACTAAGATATCTGGGTATGAGTCCTCAGTTTTTAGAAGGAGAGGCTGGGCTGGAGAAACAGATGTGAGATTCATTAGCTTATCAGTCAAGGATGAAACCTGGGGTGCAAATGTGATCTCCCCGAGAAAGGTCCAGTCGGAGGAACATCCGCATTCAAGTGGAAAAGGGAGCCTGTTGTTTAGGGAACCACGGCACTTAAACCTCAAATATTCACAGTTAACATGCTATGCGAAAGGAGGATAATTCCTTAAGATGAATTGAAAAGCTACCCTCTTCTTGAGGGATTGAGAAACCCCCCCAACACACACAGAGGTTGTTAAACTAAAATTCTAAAGACAGCTTAAACTAGTTCTCTTTCTTCTAAAAGAAGACAGGCAAGTGAAATAGAAGAAACAGATAGTCTGAGTAGAAAATAAGACAGGAAAAAGGAAGAAAGGGAAAGAAGGAAGAACAAAAAAGGAAGGCAGGAAATAAAAAAATATCTTTCAATTATCTCTTTCTGCCTTGGCTGCAGTAGTGAACTTGGCACAACCACGGCTGAAACAGAGAACTGGTTGAAGAAAACTTGTAGAAAGGTCTAGACGGCCAGGCTGCCCTCAAACTGGCAACTCCACTTGGAAATCCAGTGAAAGAAGTCAGTTTTCAAAAGTAGGATTTCTAGTGAAATAGAAAGAAGCAATCTAATCGTAGAGGATGCATAAGAGCAATGGGAGAGAGAAATTAAGGCTTAAAGAGTAAATATTACATGGCAAGAAGGTGTTTTGCTTTCTTTTGAAACCGTATTATCTGTATTGATTTTCTAAAAATGTAATGTTGAATGATACTCTTCATAATAAGTAGTAATAATTATCTTTGTTACTTTTTAAGATTTATACCTGTTCTTTTTTAAAAATGACAAGCATACTATTACCGCCATTTCACACAGGTCTTTCAAATGGCCTGAGGCTGCTTAGATGGAGGCACCACTGCCCCCTGGTGGGAAGTAACTGTATTTTTGCGTTGAGGCAGCTTCTTGAACACCTGTACAGCCAAATCCATGACGTCACATGTGCCACGAGTACAAAAAGAAAATGATTTATGTTTGTTTTTATATGTGAAGAAAGACTAAATGAGTTCTTAACATTACAGTTACTGAGCAATCACAAATTCTTTCTCACGGGCAAGAGCTGTTTGAAACTAAACACCTGAAAACAATTTCAGGTCTGATAAGGTTATTAAATGTAGAAGTACCAGGCAAGCGAATGTGAGGCCTTTGCCTGTAGATATTAAGAACTTTTGGCTCTCTTATAGCTTAAACCATCTACAAGTGACTCAAAACAACCCAGGCTACAGTACTATCTGAGATGGCTTTTCACTTAGTAGTTCAGAAATTTCTCCCAAGCCAGTGGTTCATGGCTTAACTCTAACATTTCTAGAGAGAATATGGTCAACCATATATGACTGCTGACATCCCACTTTTTTTTTAACATATAAACTCACCAACTGTATATTCAACCTAATAAAAGGTAAAGGAGGGAGAAAAGAAAGCATCAGAAATGAGCTAGGAGTTTCACTAGCTGCAAAATGTAAACAAAATAAGAAATACAACCAAACAAGCCCTCCAGATAATGATCTAGGAAAAGTGCTGGGGACCAAGAAAGGAGGAAACAGAAGAGAGAGGATTTCTCATCCTAGGTTCAGACATAGAAGTAGGTGCCTAAAACTAAGACACCTTGAGAGCACTGTCTAATGCTGTTCCTCCACATGTGCCATCTCAGAAAGAGAGGTGAAGTCAAGTTTCGGCAGTGAGCTATGGCCCCTGTGTCATCAGCTTATTCTAGGCACTTCAGTAGATTGTCATATTGACTCAATAAATACGTGGCAAAGCATGCCCTTGCTTCACAGGCACCGCAGGAAGCCAGCCATTCAGTACAAATAGGTAACCATGCATTATAGGCCACACACAGGAGGAGGGTCCCTCACTGTGACAGAAGAATGACTGAAGGCTGAGCCCTGAAACAGCCTTGAGACAGATTAGGCATAGGGGCATGACACACAGAAGATACTCAAAAAAATGCCCCAAATCCCTATCTTTCTCCATCTCTTTCTCCAATCCCAAAGAGACCTTCCAATCAAAAATTAGATTAAGGGATGCTATAAAATGAATATGCACTCTACGTATCTAGTCATCATCAACTGATGAACTGATAGTTTCTCAAATCAGTTTATCAAAACTCCTAAGCAAAGAAAGGATCCAGGAGCGATACATTTTGTTTAGCGATGGAGTTGTAGGTCAAGTTAAATCTGGACAATAGGATGCCACCCAGAATGGCAAACTGAGTTGAGACACCAAAGTGCACAGAACTCCAAACTGGGAGCATCAGGAAAGGGACAATTCACTAACAGGCAGAAGGGGAGACAATGTGCAGAGAGGCAAGCTCCAAAGCCCAGCTTTGCCAACCTCCTGCTATTGGGGAAACCAACACTCTCCAAGTGACCTGGGTAAAGAGAGGCCAACAGCGTGCCTTCTTAAAACAAAACAAAAAAGAACACATTTATCTGAGTGCATTTTACGACCCTGGAAACATTCTTAATGATTTTCTGCTGGTCCCAGGAAATACACATTCAAGGGGTCAGTGAAGAAGAATTCTCTCTCTAGCAGACAGTAATGATTTCTAAAAGAAGGGTGTGGTCACTTCCCAATAACAAACATGAAGAAAAATATGTGAGAGAGACCAAGGAACTGCTGAGTGTCCTGGACTTTGTTCTTTTCTCAACTCAGTGAGGCCCCCAGACCATGCACATGCTCGGCGTTCTCTCCAGGGTCTTCATGTTCACAAAGGGGCAGACTCACTCATTGAGCAAAGGCATGGACGTTCTCCTCTTGCTCTTCTGTACCATGTTGGCCTGATTCCTCAAGGAGATCCGAATCATAGCCGGGGCCAACCTACAGGGCTCCCCATCCACTTGCATGGGGATGGGTTTGTAAGTTAGCAGCATGACCTCCCGACACTGGTGCAGCCTTTCTCCGTGGCCCCCGACTTGCAGGGCAGCCTGTAAAAACAAGAATCAAAAGGAAGCAAGGAGTTAGTTCTTAAGAGTTACTCAGGATATACAACCAAAAGGCCTTTGATAAACATATTGAAAGTTGTTAGCCATGAGTAACATAAGAAAGCTTGGATAAATCATTAATACAAATAAACTAAAATTTCTAAACTTTTGATGAGCACAACCATAAATTCTCCTTCATAGTCACTTTTTGCTTTTATGTATTTTCAGTCTTAATGTAATCATGTTAGTTTAATGCAAAAGTTGTTCTCTGTGTTATCCTCATTAAATAACCAACGTAAGTAGAACAAAAAAAGTACAAAAGAGATAAAGCACATAGTTTAAGATAGTATCTATACTATATTTAAATATAAATATATTCTAATAAATATTCATATTATATGTAAATATAATATATAATTTAAATATAAAATATATAATAAATATACAGTTATATATTATATTTAAACATACAGCCCATCCTTGGTTAATTTTCAAACTTGGGCAAGTTTTTCTTTTTTTACCTGAAACCTCCTCAAGCTACTTCTAATCTGTATAAGATCAGTGAAATGCAAAATAATATTACTCAATTGAAAACATTCTGAAAAGTAAAGCAGCTTTGAGAATCAAAATCAAACACAGTAAGAGCTCAGTTCACTATGGTGGCCACAAAATGAAGTTAATCCAACACTAAAAGTCTGCAACAAATTAGCACAACTTCCCTGCCTTAGTGTAAAAAACAAAAAATACACACACACACACATGCACACATGGACACTTAGTATTATTTACCCTTTTAAGGATAAATGAAAGTAATGCAATATATGTTTGGTTATAACATGCATAGAGTACACAAATTACATTATGCACCTTGATGAATATCTTTATACACATGTGACTCTCGGTCCAGATCAAGCTTTAGGCACTTCACAGCAATCAAAAGGTTTCCATGTGACCCTTCGCAATCTATTTACATTCCTCCCAGCAACCAGTTTGAAACCACTATTCTGACTTCTATCTCCAGAGAGTCAATTTGTTTGAACTTGAACTCCATATAAAATAAATCATATAATTTGTACTCTTGTGTGTCTGACATCTTTTGCTCATCATTATTTTTGAGTAATATATAGCAAAATATATTTATGTACCTTCAGCTGGTAAACATTTGATTGTTTCCTGTTTTGGGCTCTTATTGATGTAAACATTCTTGTATTTATCTCTTGGTGGATACATGCTCTTTTGGGTACATACAATGAGTAGAATTGCTACGCCATAAGTTTAGACATATACTTCACTTTAGTAGATAGTGCTGAACAGTTTTTTAATAAGGTTATATTATAATGCATTTTGAGTATCAATTATTTTATAATGAAGTAAACTTAAAAAAGGAGTCAAATATTAACTCTAGCCTAAAACCTAAATGATTTACATTAAAAAAAAAAATACATACTATCAGCTTGTTTCCATATGTCTCATCATAAATGGGGAAGAAACCCTGTTAACGGAGATTCGTGAAGTCAGCTTCCAGTTATTTGGTTGCTAGATATTTGTATTTATCTGATGCTCTGAATTATTTTTGCATTTGTATTAATTTGAACAATAGAAACCTGATTATCTATAAATGCAAATAGAGAAGGAACACCAAGGGACAGAAAGGAAGGAAAGAAATAGACTAAAAACTGAGAAGTAAAGAACTTATCATTGAACACCTTCCATGTTAAAAAGTATTCTATTGTGTGCTTTATATATAATTTTATTCAATTAGTGGGAGAACAAGAAAGCAGAAGAGAATGAAGTGAGAATTTACTAAAATTCTTTTTGGCCTATTCCCTCGTCCTCTGTTATCCAGCTGAAAGTTTTTCTGGCTGTACTTAAAGGATCCATTTAAATTAATCTATGGATTCGACCCACTATCTTATCTCCAGAACTTTTCCAATATATTTCCCTTGCCTTCAAGTATTTATCTGACAAACCTGTATCCCTTCATCCACTAGATGAAATCCCATTTTCTTTTTTTCCCAGTCTTGACTGGGCCTAATGACAAAAACACAGAACCTGCCAGGTAAGAACTTATTCCTCTAAGTTTAACAGGATTGAAAATTGCTTAAATACTTTTCAATCCATTGGTATTGGAAGGCATACACAGTACTATAGAGCACGTTTAAGCCATCTTCTCAGCCTCAACAACAGAACAACAGCAAATACCACAAACATGTAGAGGTCAATAGCTGTCCGTGGCAGTCCCATTCACATTCCAGAATCAATCCAAGATCACTAAACAGGCACAAGAGAAACTACCGGAACCAGCTTTTCAGGATAAAGACAGTTCTATTATCGTTAGCACAGCCACATTATATTGTTTTTGGAAAAAGTTAGAATAAAGATAATTTTTTAAATATTTATTAGAAATAATTATTTTTCATCACTCAGATTGGTCTAGGTTTAACATCCTATTAAGGCACAGGTCCTAATAGCCGGAAACATCCCCATGATTTGTTAGAATGAATCATTAACTAACAATAATACATAGGTCTATTAACGACAGACATTCAACTATCTGTTCAAGCTAGTATGTATAACTCTTGTGAAAACTTCAAATACTGCCTTTCTGGTAGCATGTGATTGAGAGGAAAACAAAGACAGCCCTGAAGGAAGTACATCCATCACCATTTATTGCCCTCAGCCCATAACAACTTTCCTTTACTTCGCAGGTATGGCTTGAGACTTTCCGTCTTTCCACACTATAGTCCTCCCCAGAATACTCTTCTCCATCTCCCTTCAAGCCTTATCATCCTCCTTCTTACTACTCAAGTCTTTATTCTGCCTGCTGTCACATGGAAATGATGGGCAATCTTGGGTTGGGGAAGGAGAAGAGAAGGGCACATGCCCCCACCCCCCGCCCCCACTTTCTCACCACTGCTTCCAGCCCCTGACTCCCAGGCTCCTGTAACAAAATGCCCAAGGCAGAAATCAGTGACATGGAGAATAAACAATGGAGATCATCAATAATACTAAAATCTGGTTTTTCCTTTTTATGACTAACAAGGTAGTCTTGTAAGACTAAATAACAAAAAATAGAAAACGTAAGACTATTTTTGTTTTATTAAAAAATAAAATAAGCAAAAGACGGTAGCTAAAAATATAATAAAAATTTTTGAAAATCATACAAGAATGTTATGAAGACCTATCTGTTAATAAATTGGAGAGCCTAGATAAGAAAGAGAAACTTCTGGGAAAAAAATTTAACTTAGAAAATTTGGTGTAATAAACACAGAAATTGGATAGATTAAACCAATTTAAAAAATTGGAAGAGTTACCAAAAATATATCTCATCCTACCACCCCACTCTCAAATGTGCCAAGCAGACCAGACGTTATACAAGTAATCTTACCTAAATTTTAAAAAAAGACAGCATCCATTTAATACAAGTTGCTTTAGGTAATATGATGCTATGGCTTCTGAGATAACAAAACCAGATAACGGCAGTATAAGAAAACAAAATTTTAGCCTAAATTATATTTATAACCATACATACCAAAATAAAAAAAAATTGCTTCTCCTAGTCTATTGCATAAAAACTAAATTATGGTCTATAATGGTTTTTTGCAAGAATTCAAGATAGTTCAACACAAGAAAATAAATGATTGGGGGGTTCTGATTTGCAGGTTCAGATCCCGGGCGTGCACCAATGCCCCGCTTGTCAAGCCATGCTGTGGCGGCGTCCCATATAAAGTAGAGGAAGATGGGCACGAATGTCAGCCCAGGGCCAATCTTCCTCAGCAAAAAGAGGAGGATTGGCATCGGATGTTAGCTCAGGGCTGATCGTCCTCATACACACACAAAAAATAGAAAATAAATGATTGTAATTTTACCACATTATGGCTTAAATGAGAAAAACCATATTACTATTTCAAAAGACACAGAAAAAATAAGTTCAGTGCCTTTAGATAAAAGTTGTTAGAAAACTAGAAGTAGAAAGTAACTTCTTTAACTGATGAAGGTCATCTACCAAAACACTTAGAGACAGTATTATTCAGAGTAAAGAAAATTTAGAAGCAGTCCTTTCAAGGGACAAAGTTTTTCATTAGCAATGAAAGTTTTCAACATAATATTGGATGTCTTGAACAATATAATAAGTCAAGGAAATGAAATTAGAGAAAAAAAGTCTTGGAAGAAAAAAAAGCAAACCTGCTAATATTTCCACTGTTATCATCCCATACATAGAAATCCCAAGAAAATTCACAGGCCAAGAATTAAAACTAATAAGAAAGATGGCTGGATACACTATCAACATAAAAAAATCAATAATGTTTCCCCACTCTAGCAATAGCTAAATAAAAAAATAATAGAAAATCAGATGACATTTATAATATCAACAAAAACAAGGAAGCAACGCATAAAACTTTTATGCAGAAAATCTTAAAACTCTATTGAAGATATAAGGGAAGACCTAAATAAATGGAAAGCCATGCCATATTCATAGATGGGACAATTTAATACTCTAATGATATTAATTTCTCCAAATTAATATATAAATTCAATGTAACTCCAATTTAATATCAGAAATACCATTTTGAGGAGTCTTGTCAAACTGATTCTATAATTAATTTTAAAGAATAAAGGTTCACAAATGGTGGAGAATATTTTGAAAAAATAAGAGCAATAGACTATCCTTATTAAATATTAAGACATATAACATTCCAAGATACAGTCATCCAAATAATGGTGTTTGCACCAGATAAGACATAAAGGCCTAGGGAAGTGAAAAGAGAAGAGAGTAGACCCATATGTGTGAGGACATGGACTATGTTCTTGTGGTATTATAAACTACTGGAGAAATGATGGATAATTTAGTAAATGGTGTTGGGAATATTTCTCACTTTATAGAGAAAAATAAAACCAGTACCCTACCTCACATCATACACAAATACAAACTCAGATGTATTAAAGGCCCAGGAGCAAGAAATAAAAATATAAATATAAAAATTAGCCAGCAGAAAGAGAGG